TGGTACAAGAACAATCTAACCCGGGGGGACGAAATAAAGGGCTTGGTTCAAAATTTCAATCACCGGAAGAAGTCCGGAGCGTACAATGGCCGAAACGAATATGGCAACGAAGATGAGGATAATGCGAATAATGTAAATAATACATCATCTCAGACATATAGATAGATAGTAACGCCTACGATTCATTATAACAAACTCTTGAATGACCAAACGTAGGAGTTGTAGACAAACAAAATCAAAACATGGCTCTATTTACATTATTTGGACTAATGTCCTCATCTTTGTTGCCATATTTATTACAACGTTTCGGTAGTTGTACGCTCTGGCCTTCTTCAGGTGCTAGGAATGTCGAAGTGAACCCTTTATTTCGCTCACTTGGGTAGACTGTTCTAGTTCTACGTGCCATGTTTAATAGATGTCAGTTATCAGTTAATTCACCTCTCCAAGTTCTCCACTGCCTTAACCGGGTATTGAACTCACACTCTTTGGGTCTCGTCACCGAATCTAACCAACGCCTTTATCCACTATGCCATGTGTCCTTGAGTCTATCCCAGTGAGCGAAATAAAGGGTTCACTTCGACAGTCCAACTACCTGAAGAAGGCAGGAGCGTACAACGGCCGAAACGTTGTAATAAATATGGCGACATAGTTGATGAAAAAGTGACAATAAATAATGCAGAGGAATAGAAAAATAAGCAGAACACTAAACAATAAATGTAGGCAGGCAATAGGGGAATGGCTCTATGAAACTTTCGCTGATATAGAAAGTATAAGCAACATAAGTAAAACCTGTATACTCCAAGATATGAGAATAAACCAGAATTAAAGTGCGAGCCAACCGCCTAAATACGAACAGAAAAGGAATAAAGTTCGTGCAAAGAATTTGAATCGATGTGTCTTCTCTCTTGGTCATTTCAATATGTACAGTGGGACAATCATGAGGGAACTGAAGACAATACCAGGAATTATTACCGGAGAAGGGAGCAATCTTAACAATATAGAATACGCAGAAAATATATATAATAAAATACACAGAATCAAAAATACTTTTCCCCCTAGAAGATTGAGTAACGGAAAGTGTTGAAAAGGACTAGCCATCAACTACAAGACGATTAATGGTATGGTTGTATATTTTATATAATTTCATTTTATAATATATTTGTATATAGAGAATTTCCAAAATGTGGAAAAGGACTAGCCATAAACTATTATAGGATTGATGTTATGGTTGAATACTTTATATAATATAATGTTATAATATATATGTATATAGACACTATCCAAAGTGAGTAAAAGGATTAGCCATCAACTATAAGAAGATTGATGATATGCTTGTATATTTTATATAATATAATTTTATAATATATATGGATATAGACACTTTCCCATGTGAGGAAAGAACTAACCATCAATTATGAGAGGATGGATGGCGTGGTAGTATAACTTATATAATGTAATTTTATATATATATATATATATATATATATATATATATATATATATGCATATGCATATGCATATAGAAATTTCCCAAAGAGTGGAAAAGGACTAGCCATAAACTATAAGAGGATTGATGGTATGGTTGTATTCTTCATATAATATAATTTTTATATATATGTATATAGACACTTTCCAAAATGAGTAAAAGAACTAGCCATAAACTATAAGAGGATTGATAGTATGGTTGTATATTTTATGTAATAAGATTTTATATATATATATATATATATATATATATATATATATATATATATATATATATATATATATATATAGACTCTTTCCAAAGTGAGGAAAAGGACTAGCTATAAACTGTAAGAGGATTGATTTTATGGTTTTCATCAAGTTAAAAAGCCGAAGATGCGCATTTGGATTTGGAGATGTCAACATTGAACATAAAGAGAACTTTAAATATCTGGGGAATATTTATGCAGAGGATGGGAAATTTGATAGCGAAAACCGAAACCGCGTCATACTAACTAAAGACTAATTCCTATAAGTTAAACAATGTTTTAAGAAACAGTAACCTTTCGCCATAAACAAATAAAGGAGTAGGGAAAACCATGTGATGTCATTCTTCTCGTATATTATTGAATGCTGGACAATTTTATCAACTGATAGAGAGAGAAGTGGAGGATAGTGACATGTATTCTACAGGAGGATGCTGATAATTCCAAAGATTGAACCATTAGGCAAGGCGGTAGTCTTAGGCATTCCTAAATCTAACTGTTATGTCTTCCTATGTTTCAAAGAAAATGGTAACAAAAGAATCTTTTTACTCAGAAACAGAAAGATGCAACTGAAAATTATTGCATATAATAAGGAAGAAGGACTTGTAAAACCCAACACTCATAGGCCATATCGAAATATAGTAGATTGTGAAAAAAATCCTTCTCATCAATCTATAGTTGTTCTGGATAGAATCACCATTAGCTTGCCACAATTGCATGTCAGTTATGTGCCATTCGTGATACACACGTGGGCGATCTTTCGATACATGACTGACGAGACAATTTTTTTCCAGCAGTAGGTTGCCATTTCTGGTTGTCATTTCTTTCTGCGGTAGACCAGTTGCCATCCAACTCTATAGAACCCGGCCTGTCTTGCTATTTACTTATGGCTGGCGGAGCAGATGGAGATTCATACCTTTCCCAATGGTATTAACACGTAAGTGAATGTAATAGACTCGCCTGGAATTTGAACTCGTCTCTCCGATTCCTCTATCCGAGCAACTATTCATTACTCAATCGTGTCTCCCAAACATGCAGCAAAAAGTAAAAACAATTTCTAGATTCACGCCATAGTTTACTGTAATCACCGTGAAAAAATTGTCGATAGAGTTTGTTTTTTTTTTCGCAAAAAAGTTATGGTAATTGCTTTTTAATTTGCCGCCATTTATCTTGCAATATGTTTCCTAGTAATGCCCACTATCATGTAGCGGAGGAAAGCAGTTCTACTTTATAAACACCAACATAACATCCATCAAATCGCTCATTTGATAATGAACTTGTAAGTATGGGTTAATTCCTTGAAAGTCAACTTTCTGAGATAACATATTTTGCCTAGACTAACACACTAGAGGCTCTAATAAGAAATGCTTATCGACTCTAACTAACAACCTGGCTAGAAGTCAACTCTGAATTTCTATTGAAAAATGAATTATATTCGATTAGCTTTCAGCGTCTTTTTGACATCTATGTTATTGCTAATGTTTTAAAACCCCGCATTTGTTGGGAAAAATCTTAAAGTTCTAACGGCAAACATTTTATAGTTTTTCAATTTTCCCTTCCAATGAAGCTAACATTTAAAGAAATTGAAAACTAAATTCTACTTACAAAATATAATCCACCAGATGTAATGTATATAAACCTCATGTTTTATTGTCATTACTTCTTAAACACTAAAGAATTAACTTCCTATTCTTAATTAAATTAGTATGGAACTTTATTAATAATGCCCAGCATAAAATTGTATATCTACTACGTCAGTAGAAGACTCCATTCCATAGAATAATCAACTACGTCATTGGAATGATTTAATCATAGGAGCTTTTTTTTAGTTTTCCATGTGTTGTGCACTTTCATGACGTGGTTACACGTGGCTCTCCACAACTTCCTATCCTTTGTAGCTCTTAGTAATTTTTGTCTTTTCGTTAGTCCTTCGAACTTATTCAACAAACTGGTTAAGTATGTTAATCGATGATTTCCTTTGGGAAATCTTGCAACATAGTCATTTAATATAAAGAGGATTTCATTTTCCGCTCACTAGAAGAGTAATGGATAGCGGATCGGATTGTGGAATCGGAGTCAAATCCAGTTACATTCACTTACGTGCTATTACCCTTGGGAAAGGTTGGAATCCTCTTCTTCTTCCCCCAACTATGGGTAAATAGCAGGACAGGACGGGTTCTATTGACTTGGATGGCAATTGGTCTAACACAGAAAGAAATGGGGGAAAATTTGCCTCGTTCATCA